CCTATGGAAAACTGTGCCTGACTACGTTGTAACAGTTTTCCTCGACACTGCATAGATCCATCCCAAGAGAGCTCGGTATCAACTCGGGATAATATTCTTATTTATTGACCTCGGCAGGACGTACATACAGCACATAGCCCACACCGGCTCTGTTTTCCGTGGCAAGAACCAAGAAAACAGTGGGAAAGGGCGGCTCCTCTCCCGAAAACCACGCGCCCCACCGCGTTGCGTGCCAACCCCCGTTTCTTATTTCCCAGCAACTCCGACAGCAATAGTCCTCGCCCACATGTTCTTACTTGTCTGGTGCTTTCACTTCCAGAGACAGTTGTAAGTACTGTGTAACTGCGTCGAGGGTGCTTGACCATTTGACAGAACGTGGTGCGGTCTTCCCCCTTGCACGGAGTGAGGCTTCTCCACCCCGCACAACATGATCNCAGAGTTCATGGTTTATTTGAATTTGAATTATATGTGTTCACTGTGTGCGTCTAGAAACAGAGCTGATATTCTCGATAGTAGGTTCCTACTGTCAAGCGCCGTGATACCATAAATATTTCCCACGATGAGTTCCTCTTGTCCCGGGGGTGGAAATGCTGTGGGCTACGTACACTCACGCTATACGGAAAAGGCTAAAATATGTCAGGCTAAACCAGTCAGGTAACTGAGTGGTCTAATGGTTTAGCCTTATCTAACAAAACACTCAGTCAGCTCACTGAGTGGTCTATCTACCACTCCGATGGTATCCGGGATGAAAACAATGCCAATGAACAGATAGAGCCATCGTGATGGCACGGCCGGTTGAATGCAGCGCACTGTCCTCTTGTTTCCCCGTGTTCCTTCGAGAGAAGGCAAGGCGGAACCTTACTTGATCCTCCTACTTCAGATGGTGACCACAAAACAAGACGCTGTCCATTATTCGTTCAATTTTTCTCTGACANTGTCAAGCGCCGTGATACCATAAATTTCTCCCACGATGAGTTCCTCTTATCCCGGGGGGGGAAATGCTGTGGGCTACGTACACTCACGCTATACGGAAAAGGCTAAAATCAGTCAGGCTAAACCAGTCAGCTAACTGAGTGGTCTAATGGTTTAGCCTTATCTAACAAAACACTCAGTCAGCTCACTGAGTGGTCTATGCGCATTGTCCCTATATTTGTGACCGAATGAAGCGCCCTACGGGCAACACCACATGGGAGGGGAACACACTCTACCACTCCGATGGTATCCGGGATGAAAACAAAGCCAATGAACAGATAGAGCCGTCGTGATGGCACGACCGGTTGAATGCAGCGCACTGTCCTCTTGTTTCCCCGTGTTCTTTCGAGGGAAGGCAAGGCGGAACCTTACTTGATCCTCCTACTTCAGGTGGTGACCACAAAACAAGACGCTGTCCATTATTCGTTCAATTTTTCTCTGACAAGGACAATAATGTACCAATATCTAGACGCAGTCGATCGTAGTTGGTCCAGGCGACACACTGGGGGGATAAACCTTGGCTACTGTGCGGTATGTTGCGGTCGTCAACAACAGGGAAGCCACTAGTCCCTGCCCAAACATGCGGATCGAGAGGAAAGAATGTCAACTCTCAACCATAAGCATNCTACCACTCCGATGGTATCCGGGATGAAAACAATGCCAATGAACAGATAGAGCCATCGTGATGGCACGGCCGGTTGAATGCAGCGCACTGTCCTCTTGTTTCCCCGTGTTCCTTCGAGAGAAGGCAAGGCGGAACCTTACTTGATCCTCCTACTTCAGATGGTGACCACAAAACAAGACGCTGTCCATTATTCGTTCAATTTTTCTCTGACATGGACAATAATGTACCAAAATGTGATCGATATCTAGACGCAGTCGATCGTAGTTGGTCCAGACGACACACTGGGGGGATAAACCTTGGCTACTGTGCGGTATGTTGCGGTTGTCAACAACAGGGAAGCCACTAGTCCCTGCCCAAACATGCGGATCGAGAGGAAAGAATGTCAACTCTCAACCATAAGCATTATTTGAACCATGCAGGCCCAATTTCGGACACGTACCTCGTGCGGCGTTCGAATGCCTCCTTTGATGGCCATCTCATGTTATTTAAGGCTGCCGCTCAAAAAGTGGACGCTCAACTTCAAGAGAGCATTTGATGATGGGGTGCGGGATGGGTCTCCCGGCGTTGACCGTTCCTCGAAAAGTGCCAGACAGGCATGGCGTAGCATGGAGACATCAATGGCCAGATAGCGTCGGGTTGCCCGGAATGGACTCTGCGAAACAATGGTAAGGAAACTCGAATAAACCCGAGCGCGACCATAATGCAAATGAAAAAAACAAATGAAGGAACTACGACGGTGAGCATTCGCAACTTTTATCGAAACTGTGTTTTCGCCGTAGGCTATCGATTAACATTTCATGTNCCAAAAAGTGGACGCTCAACTTCAAGAGAGCATTTGATGATGGGGTGCGGAATGGGTCTCCCGGCGTTGATCGTTCCTCGAAAAGTGCCAGACAGGCATGGCGTAGCATGGAGACATCAACGGCCAGATAGCGTCGGGTTGCCCGGAATGGACTCTGCAAAACAATGGTAGGGAAACTCGAATCAACCCGAGCGCGACCATAATGCAAATGAAAAAAACAACTGAAGGAACTACGACGGTGAGCATTCGCAATTTTTATCGAAACTGTGTTTTCGCCGTAGGCTATCGATTAACATTTCATGTTAAAAGGAATGTCACAACCAGCAAAACATCAAGGCGGTTATCAACAAACAGCTCCTGTGGTCATGGGGAAAGCTCTTTGAATCTTGAACGATACTCCTTGACAACGCGATTACACAACCGAGACAAATGGAATCAAAATACCCGGGAAAACATGGCTTTCGTCCCACGTACACAAGCACACACGAGCAACACAATGGGCTGACAGGGGAAAACCCGAACCTACCGGGAAACACCTGCTCCACGCCACACCGTAAAATCGCATACCGCAACTGTGAACTGTTAGCCCTCACATTGCAAAGTACGGTCACCATTTCGTCGCGAAGGTACAAAACAAAGCTGGTCTGAGTCTCGATCAAAAAAGTATGTATATATAAGTATGCAGAGATAATCGCCCCGTCAATAAAAGAACCAAGCCTTGGACCTTAAAACACCAAGGGAAGAATAGCAACAAAAAACACCTCCGAACTTCAAGAACCTACGCTCGAACACACAAAAAAATGCACTTGCTTTCGTCGCCCTCCCCGAGGCAGTGAGGAGTTGACGCGTGCGGAGCAGCTTCTCAAGATGCGGGAACGCATCGTCGGGAACGGATCTGTGTGATTCGCTTGGGGGCATCCAACTTAGCACATGAACCCCCAACTCACGTCGGGATCTAAAGCCGCGTTCTAGCAAACAATAAANCCAAAAAAGTATGTATATATATATGCAGAGATAATCGCCCCGTCAATAAAAGAACCAAGCCTCGGACCTTAAAACACCAAGGGAAGAACAGCAACAAAAAACACCTCCGAACTTCAAGAACCTACGCTCGAACACACAAAAAAATGCACTTGCTTTCGTCGCCCTCCCCGAGGCAGTGAGGAGTTGACGCGTGCGGAGCAGCTTCTCAAGATGCGGGAACGCATCGTCGGGAACGGATCTGTGTGATTCGCTTGGGGGCATCAAACTTAGCACATGAACCCCCAACTCACGTCGGGATCTAAAGCCGCGTTCTAGCAAACAATAAATCGGACAAACTAATCGTGAAAGCTCTTCCGACACCGAATGCAAGGCATATGTCGACAGCGTAGACCGATCAACAGCATCACACGGCACGTTGCAGGAATATGCATAGAAGTAGCTTTCAATACAGTGCGGTGCTGCATTCACCTATGGAGGCGACAAACACGTCTTGCTGTATTGGCCAATCCAGCAGGTGCACCTACAGTACAGCAAGACATGGAGACGGCTCGACCTTCGAGCCCGACCCTCTACAGCATCACCACGACTCCCGTTCTAGAAACACTCCAGACCACCCGAAGCGAGCATTTTTTCGACGAAGACAGGCAACGGTTTTGAGTGCCAAGCGGCCATCACCCGAGTCTACGCCGACCGCACCGTTTGCCAAATTCTCTCAACACGGGGATGACAGCAAGAGCCAAGGTACAGCTCTTTAAGGGTCAAGAAGGGGGGTGAAGGGATGCCTCCTCGCGTGTGTCCACAGCTCCCAGCCCCATATGACCGACCACACCCATCCGACCACTAGCGGGGCGGTTACCAGCTGCAGGATGCCCGTGAATATGCTCTTCAACTTGCATGTGAGAAACCCTGCAATGGTAGTACCCAGTCCTGTTGACATTTTGCAGAGAACAGAACGAGAAAAGAAGGCAGCGAGCGACGCGTAAACGGGAGGGAACGGGGGAGCGAGTGATGGACGTCAATCTCAATATACTTGTGGCTCACGTTTGGTCGGAATAAAGCAGCTGTAAGGGGCAGTGGAATAGGCGGAATCGACACAAGTCAACGAGCGTTTCACGTTCCAGTGGTCTCAAGAGGAATTTTTCCCAGACAATTTTGGCGAGTCAGGGCGCACCTCCAACGGACAGCTCAGCACAAAAAGCGGGCAGGTGAAATGCCTAAAATAACGCCCCGCGGGGTTCGGGCAGATGCAAAACAGCCACGCACTTTCGGATGATAAAAAATCCATTGGTGGAACCAATGCACAGAGCGAAATCGGTGTAGCCGCGGGGGAAGAAATTCGACCATCGAACACAGCTCCATGTGTAAAGCGGAAGTAAACTGGGCTAGTGGTCGGTTGAAGGGCTAACGTTATGCATTCGTCCAACGATAGGGTGGGGAAACGAGCTCGGCGCAAAGTCGTCCACTTGTCGGTTTCGATACCAGAATGAGACAGGCGGGACTCGGGAAAACACACTGGCTTGCAAGAATGCAAGCGTACATCGATTCCCTCCAGCACCAGTCAAGTGCTCGAGACACAATAGCCGATGCCCACACGACTACGGTGTGGAAAGTGCCAACCAAAAAAATATGAAACGACGGCTATTTGACCAGCAGACCACAATAGTATCTCCGAACGAAATCATGNTAGCCGATGCCCACACGACTCCGGTGTGGAAAGTGCCAACCAAATAATATGAAAAGACGGCTATTTGACCAGCAGACCACAATAGTATCTCCGAACGAAATCATGGCTGTATTGGTTTGGGCAAGAAGAAGTATTCCCCGCCTCGACCGCGGCAATGCAGGTGTTGTGTCCAAACCTCGATGAGTACCAAAGAGAAAATAACACATACACACACCTACATACCCCGAACGATCGAGCGAGGTGGAGGCTAGCGCTATCTACCTCCCCGGGCTGCACCGCGGCGTCGCGGTCTGGCTGAATTCGCTTGAACTAATCGAAGCCTTGTGACTCAGACATGGAGACACATCACAAAATGGTTGAAAGAACCTCATGTTTCGGGTTTTGGCGTGTGCTATCTTTCCAAAAATGATGCCATCATTGGCGATTGCAGTCCGCGAACAAATCGTTGCCGTCAGCGGTCTAGCCGTCCTCTTTGGAAATGAAAATCAGGCGGATTTCTTGCACCAATCTTCGAGACCATCGGTCAAGGCGGTCGGGCATCGTGCGGAAACACCAGAGATTTTCCAGCAAAGCAGGGGTGGCTGCAGGGGATACAAAAACAAGGGGGAGATATCTCGGTCTTGCTATCCAAAGGGTGTAACTCTACCCACCACAAAGGCTTGTCGGTTGCAAGTTCTAGCGGTTCTTCTTTACTGCCATTAAGTGCGGTACAAGATAGCGCAGATACTTCGTCACTCAGTGGTGTGGGTGTCATAGCTCTACGCTTAGCTTTCGCATTCAAGCAAGATGCCAGCCGAACCGGAACAGGCTTCTCTAGAGGGACATGTTTCGAAAACCCGTTTATTGGCTGAACGGGAGAACAAAGGACAACTCTCCACCACCGACGTCGAGTACCTCTTCTCTCTCGCTCGCTGCTCTACGTGGTTCTTGCTTCTCTCAGAAGAACGTGGGAAGTAACCAGAACCGGGTATACCCGGGTGGACTATCACCATTTCAGGGCGCACTTGGGAATCAACACGACATCAATCTCCGACAGCATCCGCCGTAAATCGCGGCGAAACCAATAAATCTCTGTCTGTGTCCTGTGTCCTGTACCTCGGAACCATGATGCACGAGGCAGGTCGTGCCCGTTTTTCTCTCTCTGTGCCTCTCTCTCTGTGCTTTTACTGATCAGTACAACACCGAAGTACTCGCGCGTCACGCGAGTCCGACCCTCTGTTGAGAGGGGCCGCTATCCCATGGAGGCGGTGCCCATGAACGATGAACGAGCGAGCGTTGCTGGTGGTTTGGTTGTGGTTATATATGTGCGGTACCCGGTATGTGCGGTAAACGGTTTTTTCCGCGGGTTTTATGCTATTAGAGCGTCGGGCGCCGGGATTATATGACCATTTCTTGGTGCGAAATCGACCTCTTCCGGGTACATCAGTAACCGATATCGGTCACACCAGAGGGTCCTAATTCCAGCGGAGGTTGTACCCGATGGAGGTTTCTTCAGAAATGGGCACAAAGGTTTTTCGGCCAATCAGCTGACAGCCTGGGGGTGCAAACGTGTTGATTTCTAACTG